GCAGCTGAAAGACATCAACTTTGGGAGCTGTTAGTGGCCATGTTTCATTTGACCACCAGGGACAGCAAGCAGAGGAAGCAGGGCCCCAGAAAGAGATGTGAAAGACAGGAGACAGACAGGGAGGAGAGGCAGAGTGGATGCAGATGGTGAATGATGGGTTCCCCGGTTCCCACCCCTTCCAGGGGCCCCACTGCATCCCTGCCCTGGGATAGCACCCCCATCTTTTCAGTATATTTAAACTGCACAGAAGCTACTTCAAGTAGTTCAAGGAATGCCTTAAGTTCAGGCCTCTCTTGCATTTTAATTTCCCTTGAAAAGCTTAGCAATTCATTCTTAGGGTTTCAAGAAGTAACGCTATATTAATAAAATAATTCCCAGGTCTCTATTCCCAACATCTCACTGGCTCTCACTTTACCACTTAGTTGTCTTGCTATTATTTCACACTTAACACATGTAGAACTGTATACTTCCCAAAATTGGTCTGTGCTTCAAGGAAATGGTCCAAAGATTTAGAATATTGGCTGCATAACAGAATCACCTGGGCACCTTAAGAAAATACTAATCCAAGTCTTCAGAGAACAATTGAATCAGAATCTCTGTAGGTGCAGCCCAGGCCTTTGAAAATTCCCCAGACGGTGCAACCACATGGAGAATCGTGGACCAGCCCAGGGATGAGCAATTCATACTACCATGCCCTAGGGCCTTGCTCACGTCACCGATCAATTTCATTACTCTAGAGCCTAGAAGCAGCCCCAAAATTCTTTTCGCCATGGCCACCAAACAATCAGACTCAGCATGAAAGATGAAACATATCTGCACCCTGGACTGGACAAAATGGTATAAGGACCTACTTTATATTTTAGAATCCAGCCTACAAGAAAATGCTTGGATTAAGTATGGCCCAGGCTTCTCCAATCAGCCTCAAACAAATGTTTGTTTTCTAGGGTCTTAGTTTAGTGGTGTCAATGAGAAAACATTCTCATTTGGCTTAGAATTCTAGGAACTTTGGTTTTGATTTTACCAACTGGTTCTCCTACTCTGAAAAGAAAGGGGGTGGGGTGGGAAGCATTTGTATATGTTCCTTTTTTCTTCCCTGATTACCCCCAAAAGAGCTTTCAAATAATCTGCTAAGTATTGAAAGTACTGAAGTCATACACTAGTTGCAAAAAATCAGCTTACTGGAACAACAGGAAAGACATTCTTTTGCTTTTCAAAAGGCTTTCCCATCATCTAGAGCCAAAAATATTATCTTCTGACCCAAAAAGCCACTAATAAACCTTGTTTCTATAGGCCGCGCAAGAGGGATAATTTTGCCCTAAACAAAGCAAAAAGAGCAAGATTGTTCTCCGGTCCTCCCACTGCCATTTCCACCTTCTCCCACCTCCTGCCACCCTCCACTTCCAGGTACCTCCCTCCTGCCCTTGGGCTGACTGGAGTCCCACAAACCGACCCCATTCCCACAGGCTCCTTTCCTTCCAAAGAGCTCCCTATCCTCAAGTTAAAACACCCTTCTTTTCCCCTCCCCATCCAAATTCCAAATCCCAGCGAGTTACTAGGCACAGCCTCTGAACACAGTCTTGGCACTCACCCTCTCTTTGCAAGATTATTTATACACAGAATAGTGTTTCTTCTCTATTTCTTTAGAGTTTGGGGAGTGAGAGAAGGCTGCCTTATGGGGGCACACAGAGGAAAGCTGGCGGTAGCATCCCTGTATAATTGGGATCCATTTGCTGGTATGATACACCAATAAAAAGTTAAATCATGGTACTGTATTTTTTGCTATTGAGCCATTGAAAAACTAAAGAAACAAAAACTAAAACCTAAAACAGTAAGCCTCAGTTATAAAGACAATTCACTTGTGTGAGTCGTATTCCTCTAAACTTTAAGATAAATTAAAAAGAGAGCTTATGTACTATATTTATGTTTTAAAAGATGAGGTTCTTGTCCCAAATTAACCTCTAAATGACAGAGGAGGTGGGGGGAGGGGAAACAAAGGCATACTGTGGACCCTTTGTCAACTCCCTGCCTTATAGGATCTCAACCCACCATGCCAGTAAAAACCTCAAAGAAACAGTAAAGGGCACCCCTTTTTTTGAAAGTTCGCTAAACGGGCCCCGCCTCTGTGGCTAGCCTGGAAGGGTTACGAACACAAGAGGTGAGCAGCAGCTCTCCGAAAGGCCACACACCTCTGACTGTATCTCTGCCTATAAAACAAGAACACTCATCACCTCCCTCCCTCGGGACTGTTAGCAGGATTCATCAGTGGCCAATGACAAAAAAAAGTTTGTTATTTATAATGCCCAATAGCATGTCCTGTCTGTGAGGACAGAGCCCCAGAGCACAGAGATTTCATTTTTAGAGTATGATACAATTGTGGGTGGAAAAACTCCAATCATGACCTCCTTCTCAAAACACCCGAATGAGAAATGAAGATGAACAGAACACCCAGAGCCACAAACCTATGTTCACCAAGGTGTTCCCCACCCTAGGTGGCTGCTCCTCCTCCCTGCATGTTCCCTAAGTGCTGGAGCTCCTCAGGGATCCGACCTAGACCCTCTTCTCGTCTCCATTCATCTCACTCCATATTCTCTCCTTTGGAGACCTCATCCTCTCCCACGGCTTCAATTACATTTCATCAACTCCCAAAAGTTGATCAACACTCAGCCTGGACCTTTCTTCTAATACAGACCTGCAGATTCGACAGCTTACTTGACAGAACCACCTGGACATCTTAAAGGCACCTGTTTAAAGCTGAGCTCATCATGCTCCTTCTGCATCCCTACGCCAAGCCTGCTTCTTCAGGATGGCTCCCAGTGCATTAGCAAAGCCCCGTCATCCCCCCAGCTACACCAGGAGGACCTCTGGGACACAGTCATCACCAAGATACAAGGATTTCCAAAATACATTGTATATTGTTAAGTGAAAAAAAGAAAGAGGTGAAACTATATTTTATAGTCTGCTATCTTTTGTATATCAAAGGGGGAATCTGTGTATGTTTCAAAAAGAAATAAAGAAAAGATAAATCAAAATTTAAAAATGTTTACCAATATGGAGAGAAGAAGAAAAGCGGGTGGAGGATACTGAGATTAAAGGAAACTTCTGTGACTGTATCTTGTTATACAGTTTTGACTTTGGAAAATGTTGTATATGAATGTTCTGTATAGTTTTTTAATTATATCAAAAAGAAAAAGATCCCTAAAAATTAAAAACAAATTAAAGCAAGTTAACCTAACAGTATGTCATGATAGAAATATCCCTATAAGAAGAAAAGAATTACTAAACACAATACTCTGACCAGACACCCCTACTGGGACATATTTGTGGGCCAAAATGAACCACAAAGAAATCTTAAATTCTCTTACTCTCAGTAGTGAAAAAACATATAGTTATTTTAAAACTATGGTAATTATATTATAAGAGTTAACATTTAAAAAAACTATCCTTAGAAAAGCCAGCTTACAAGGTTGGCCCATGACTGGCATCTGGGAAACTGGATTCTGGGTAGTTCCCACATTCCCATAACTGATAAGAGTGGCTCACTGTGCCTGAACTGCTTGTGCAAACAATAAGGTTTATGCGGAACACCTGCTTTCCTTCTGGAAGTCTGAAATTTTGGTCCATGCTAGGCAGAGGATGCTTATATGACCTGTCTCCAATAAAACCCTAGGCTTCCCATGTAGACAATATTTCATATAATGTGATGGGGCTCCCACTGAGACCATTTAAGCATTAAAAAAAAAAACAACCCTAAAATTAAAATACATCAAATATATAAAAATATATGTTCAAAATGATATGAAATATAAAGCTTCATTGATTCAGACTAGAGGTTACTAGAGTCCAAACTCTCTACTCTGAAAATAAGTAAAGGGAAAGAACCAAGCATTTATCCTGCCTTTATAAAGAGCATTTCAGAGTAATCATACAGGCAATGAGAAAAGATCTTCTTCATTGAAGAATTCCAGTTAATAAATGTAGACAGAAACAATGGATCTAAACAATGGTCATCAATGTGGATGCTAAAACCATTTAAGTGAAAGATTGATGGGGATTTTATAACAGATGGATCAGCTAACACCACCTAAACCCACTGATCAATCCTATAATCTCTAAATGTGTGCAACCAGACACCATGTGCCTGTTGATGACATACAACAGAAAGTACACGGCACTGGCTATGAGGTATTCTCACCAAATAACCTGATCTGAATTGAATCAAGCCTCTAGATTGAATTTTCTGCTGACAGGAAATATGGGGAATAGGGAAATATGGTAAATGACACAACAGAAAAGCAATCAGCCAAATTCTGGATGTGGATATCGTAGATGACAATGACCTGCTTTTTCCAACAAATCAGTGTCACCAGAAAAATGGGAGTGGTGATGGCAGAAGAGTGTATAGCTATAAAATAAAAGTCAAAACAACAACAAAGCCAATCTGATCATGTCATTCTCTTACTTAAAACCCTCTGGGCCCTGCCCACTCCCCTGGCTGCACCTCTCATCATGTCCTCTCTATGTTCTGGCCACAGTCACCTTCATTCAGTTCCATGAACTAGCCCATTCCTTTATCCCTCGGGTCCTTGCACATGCAGTTCCCTCTTCCTGGGGTAAGGGGAAATAGCCCATCCCCTGCCCCAGGGTAAGATCAGGTCCTTCCCCTTGTCATACAACTCACAGTACCCTATAATTCTCAGGAAACATGTGTGAGTATTTGTGTAATATCTGTCCTTCCCCGCAAAACTAGAAGCTCCTTGAGGGCAGACGCCACATCTTTCGGCAGAGTCTGACATGTAGTAGACACTAAATATAATCTGATAATGCATATGTAAAATATAAAGTATTAATTGTGTGGCTCAATGCCACCAGGTGGGAACTTGGGGACACACAACATCAGTAAAGTCCAGCATAGGCCCTACTGGTCTTCACTGCTGTGATATCTACTTTTAGAGTACCCAGAACCCAGCCTGAGCTGCTGAGGCTCACAGGGAAGGACTCACCGCCTCGTGGGACTTGGAAACAGGCACAATGATGGCTAGCACACAGATGAGCTGGAAGATGGCCCCCAGGAAGAGTCCATACCGTAGCAGGTTCTCTAGGAAGGTGGGCTCAGGCACCTCGGGAGGTGAGAAGTCAAGGTCAGAGGCCATGACCTCAGCTGCCTGTTGTCTGAGGTCTCCTCTGACTCTTTTTTCTTCTAAATGCAAAAGGTAAGTGTCATGTTTCTACAACTGATTTTTAAATGGTCCTACACACACACACACACACACACACACACACACACACACACACGAATATATAAAGCAATTGTGTAAAATGTTAACAATTCTTGAATCTAAGTGGAGGATATATGGATAGTCACTGGACCATTTTTTCAACTTTTTGTATGTTTGAAATATTTCCAAATATAAAGTTCAGGAAAATAAATAAATATATACAAACACTTCAATAAAAAATCTCAAATCAACATACATTTACTGAAGGCCTGCTATGCTTCAGGTTTTGCTTATTTGTTCACTTGGTCATCCAGCCATTCATTCAACAAATACTTATCGAACACCAAGCAATGAAGAGTGAGCAAAACAGACATATCCCTGTTCTCTTGGGGCCTACATCTCAGGGTAGAGGCAGACAAAGAACACATCCAGATGCGATATGCCAGTTAGTTATAACTGTTTTGAAAAAAACTTAGAGGAATCATTTTATTTTGTATAGGGTGACAGGAAGTGCTCTCTGAAGAAGAGATGGGAATAAAGTGGCAGAGATATGACATGTAAGAGTTGAGCCATATCCCAGGCAGAGAAAAAAGCAAGTAGAAGCCCTGGGGCAGGGATATAAATCCAAAATGGCCAGAGAGGCGAGGGTCATGAGGGACAGTGGAAGGAGGTAAGGTCAGAGAGGAACGGGGGGCTGACCTTGTATGATGCTGATGGTTCCGATTTGACTGAGTAAAATACAAAGCCACAGAAAGGTTCTGAGCAGAGAAGTGATATTATCTGACTAACATTAAATGGGTGGAAGAGGAGTACAGAGTGGACACAGGGAGACCAGTGAGGAGGCTATTGCCAGTAACTCAAATAAGAGATTCTGGGGACATGGATGACAGGGGCAGTGGTGGCCAGAGGTGGAAGGTCTAGGCTCAACCCACATCTGCTTTCACCAGGGCCCTAATACCCTGTCTGAGCTGCTGAGGCTCCAAGAGCACTGAGCTCTTTCACAATCCTGAGCCTCTACCAAAGCTGCACACTCTGCCAAGAATGCCATTTCCAACTTTGACAGCTTGGCAAACTCCCCAGTCTACCTCAAAGGCTGAGCTCAAGTGTCACCTTCTCAGCATGCTTTCCATATTGCCCTCTCCTACCCTGGTATGACTGAACTTCTTCACCTCTACCACAGCACCCACAAACGGCTTCCTTCCGCCCACCTCAACAAAAAAGGGGCAAACTTACTGTGCAAACAGGCCCACCTGACTCCAAAGATCTTTGTATTTTCAGAGATCTGTGCCACAATGCAATTTTCTGCTAAATCTGAGCTGTCCAATATGGTGGCCATGAGCCACATGTAGCTATTGAGAGTTGAAATATACCAAGTCCAAACTGAAAATGGCTGTTAAGTTAAATACACACTCAATTTAGAAGATAGTATGGACATCTTGTAATGTCCATACTATGTAAAATATCTCAATAATATTTTACATTGATTACATGTTGAAATGACATATTGGGTTAATTAAATTACCTTATTAATTTCACCTGATCTTGAAAAGAGAACAAAGTTAGAAGGTTCACGTTCTTATTTCAAAACTTACTACAAAGCTATAATAATCAGTGTGGCACTGGCATAAGGAATCTAGGCCAATGGAATAGCATAGAGAGTTCAGAAATAAATCCTCACATATACAGGCAACTGATTTCCAAACAAAGGTTACAAGACCATTCAAGGCGAAAGGACAGTCTTTGCAACACAGAGTGCTGGAAAAACTGGATATCCACATGCAAAAGAATGGAGCTGGACCCTTATCTTATACCATATACGAAAATTAACTCAAAATGGATCAAAGATCTAAACTTAAGAGCTAAAATTATAAAACTTATGGAAGAAAACATAGGAGAAACTTCATGACACAGGATTTTGTAATGATTTCTTGGATGTGACACCGAAAGCACAGAAAAAAATAAGATGGACTTTATCGGGATTAAAAACTTTTGTGCATCAAAGGACACTATCAAGAGAGTAAAAGGACAAACTGGAAGTTTGATGGTGTTTCAAAAAGTTAAACACAGAATTACCATATGATCCAGCAATTCCACTCCTACTATACACCCAAAAGAACAGAAAACAGGGAGGGGTGGAATTCAAACAGACACTTGTACACCAACGTTCACAGCTCCATAATTTGCAATATCCACACAATGGAAACAACCAGGAGTCTATCAACAGATAAATGGATAAACTAAATGTGGTAAGTACAGTCAAAAGAATAGTATTCAGCTATTAAAAAGAATGAAATTATGACACATGTTACAACATTGATGAACCTTGAAACATGCCAAGTGAAACAAGCCAGATACAAAAGGACAAATGTGATTCCACTTACATGAAGTATGTAGAATAGGCAAATTCATAGAAACGAAAAGTAGAATATAGGCTTCCAGGACCTGGGGGAGGGTGGAATAAGGAGTTATTGTTCAAGGGATACAGAGTTTCAGTTTAGCATGATGAAAAAGTTCTGGAAATAGATGGTGGTGATGGTTATAACATTGAATGCCACTGAACTGCACACTAAAAAATGGTTAAAATGGTAAATGTTATGTATATTTTACCACAATACATAGAAACGTTTTACCCGCTTCTTTTTGCTTTTTAAACTGCGGCTACTAGAAAAGTTTTAAAGTACACCGTGGCCTGAATTAAACTCCTATGGTATAGCCCTGGGCTAAAGCGACTACCCTAAGACCTTCTTCCACTTCGGTTCTGCTGCTTCGCTGCTTTGCAACATTTTTCTAACATGAAGGAGTGACTGAAGGATAACAAAAATGACCTTCTAAGCAAATAGATTGGGACTTAGGCAACTTAGTATTGTTTCTTTTAATCTGCTCACGTAGGAAGGACGCACGCCTGTGCCAACAAGGTGGCCACTTTTTCACACGATTTCTGTCTCCTCTGGGTATGACCTTCAAAGCCTGAGGCCCTTCCTTCCTTCCCTCATCCCCCAACCCCCGCCCAAAAAATCCTCAGAGCTGGCAGATCTTCATCCTCTGGTGTCTGGAAAGAACCCAACATCATCTGGATCCAAGTGTGGTGAATCAGGTGGGGCTACAAAGCTCAGGAATACCATTTTTGGTCAAATACAAGGTGTAACAACGCTCAGACACCAGGCAGACTGTTTAGGGTGGCTCATAAACTGGCCCCGAAGTGAATTCCAAGGCCGCTGTGGGAACAGCTTCACTAAAAGAAACATACAGTCCTGACAGGGCTCTATATCCTATGCCGTGTGAGAAAGGTGTGAGAAAGCATCCTCATTTCTTCATAGCTGCCCCCTCATAAATATACATTAAAAAAAAAAAACACTCTTGGTCCCAAGCTTTCTGCTTAAGACTGTAACAAGACTACTGGGCTTGTCCATACTTAGATATATTAGTGTTACAAACAGCAACACTATTACGAATATTGGTGATACAATAAAAACATGGGGCTAGGGTTCAGGAATCCTGGGCACAAAACCTTCACTCCATCAGCAATTAGCTACACTTTGGGCCAATCTCTTGACCTCCTGGAGACTGGATGTTCTCAGAGCCAAATAACAATTTCCATTCAAAGCTATAATGCATTTAGGCTTTTTTTTTTTTTTTATGGCAATTAGGCAATATATAACAAGACCCATAAAAGTGATAATACCCTTTGACTGAATAACTCACTTCCTAGAATTTATAGTAAGGAAACAATTCAAAACAAGAAAAAGGCTTCAGGTATAAAAAAGTTCATGGCAGTGCTATTCATAATCCTGAAAAACAGGAAGCAACCAAAGTGTCCAACAACAGAGCAGTTAACTCAATTATGATACATCGTGGCATATTCCCACTTCACTTTTTAGTGGCAAATATAAATGCAAATATAAATGCTGTGTATCAGGTCAGCGGAAAGGCTTTCCAAAATAACATTAATTGAAAAAAAGGAAACAATTATATAATCGCTATGACTGCAACCATGTATAAATTGTAATTTAATTAGCTAAAGATCAAAAGAGGCCATAGGAAAATGTAAATAGTTACTATTAAAGTGAAGGGGTCATAAGTTTTAATTTTTTGGAGTATTATTGAAACTGGGTACAATTTAAAAGAAAAATCTATGCCCTATCTAGTGAGGTTCCTTCACAAGACTTTTATGGAGTTTAATGAAGTGACGTCCAATAGAACTTTCTGCGATGGAAATAGTCTATATTTATGTTCTCCGATATGGTAGCCACCAACAAACATGTGTCTTTTGAGCACTTCGATTCAGCTAGAGGAACTGAATCTTAATTTTACTTAACTTTAATTAATTTAAATATAAAGAGTCTCATGTGGCTAGAGGACTCCCATATTGGACAGCGCAGGTATAACAGGAAAGTAGTTGTAAAATGTTCTGGAAAACATAAAATGCTCCACACACATTATGTATGCTTTAGAACTCCTCTCTAATTTTCCCTGCACCCCTGTGCTTTACTTCCCAGCCTGCCTGCCAATATTTCTGCGTTTTCCTTTCCTGACTGCAGAAGCCACAGCTTCAGCTCTCAACTAGGTGGTGCTTATCCCTCAGGCTCCCTGTGACAGGCTTTGCTTCCCCTGTCACTGCTAACAGTAGTAGCAGTGAACAAATCATTTGCCAGACTGCACACACTTTACGGGTCAGCATCTCATTCACTTCACAACCACTCTGGGAGGCAGGTATTACTAATGAGGATGAAGAAACCCGGGCTTGGCTCACCCAGGGATTACTTAGCTGAGAAGTGGCAAAGTCAGGATTCAAACTGGCTGGCTCCTCCAGAGCCTGAGCTCTTACCCACTAGGTCAATGGTTTTCAAACTGCATGTTGTAGTCCATTAGTGAGCTGTGGAATCCGGTTCCTAGGCTTTAACCGACCCTTTTTCTTTTTAATTTTATTAGCCAGCACTTTAATTAAATAAATGACAATAGAAAATATCACATTAGC